CACCATTGGAGAAATATATCTTTTCATTCCAGGTGCTGGCAGTGCTCAGTAGCTCTTGAAACCAGTGGAATATATCGTGGCAAAAGTGAATGCTTAGAGAATAATTCGCAAGAGGTGATGATGTGCCATAGTTCTTCACCAATATCTTTCATTTTATTTCACTAGAAGAAGCAAAAGAGCTTAAAAGAAAACAGTAATTTTTTTTTCAAGTCCCCAGCCACTAATAAAAATGCCAAACTTTCCCAGAGCAGGTTAATTAATCTTTATATAGTCCTATATGTAAACGCCATTCACTGAAGTTTATTGGACTCCCTACCTGAATCTTGCACAGACAGACAATGGCTTTCATCCTTACCTTCAGTGGCAATGCTGCTAAGAAGTGGATGTTTTATTTGAATAGTGCCAAAATATCAGTCTGAGCAGTTCTGACTTGGTCAAGTTAAAGGGAGGCTTCCTAGGGATGGAAAGACCTCATTGCAAAGTTTTGGTCCATTGCAACTGTGGGCTGCATTGCTGTAGGTTAGACAAAAACCTTCTGGTGTTTTCTGCACTGGTCAGGGTTTTGCCGAAGACATGGGTCAGCTGGAGATCAGCTAAAAGGGAAGAATCAAACTGTTGGTAGATGTAAATTCCATAGTCAGGGAGGAGAGACTGAGCCACAGGCTAGGAGAAAAAGTGAAGACTGGTAGTCTTTGGGTTTGCAAAAAAAATGCTGCTGCAAAGAGTGGGAATAAATAGTTTTCCTTGTCCACTGAAAGCAGGAGAAGGAAAAACAGCTTTGAAGGTTCTGTCATTTTTGAAAATTTTAGATTATTTAATTGTGGGCTTATATTTTTGGAAAATACTTGTTTTCTATTTTAGGTTCTTCCTGGAATCATCTCTTTAAGCTAATGAGACATTTAAGCTAGACATTAGGAAGCATTTTCTAATGATGACGATGACTACATCCCGTCACACATCGCTACGAAGGTTAGGCGAGTCAGCAAATGTCTGCTGGGAGGGCACTGGACATTGCTGACCCTGCTGAGGTGTGGGGGAGGCAAGGGATGACCTTGGCAAGCCCCAGTCAGTCTTGTTCCCTATCACTCCGGCAAGTCTGAAGATTTACTTTCACCCTGAAGGTAATCAGTCAGTCGTGATTTTGACCTACAGTTTAATGTGCTCTCTTGCTATAGTTACAGACATCCTCCTTCTGGTTATGCTCCCTGCTGTGACTAATAGCATCTTTGCAGTTAAAGAGGTGGTTTTTAAAGAAAAACATCCAAGTTTCAGTGCTGTTACCAAGTTTATAGTTTTAACAGAAACAATGGCAGAGCAGTCCTTGCTATGGCCTATGAACTTGCCATTTATCAGGTGCAAATATGTACATGTATATTTATACACCTTTCCCCAAACCCCTAAAACCACAGAAAGGAACAATTTTTCTGCTATTGTTTATGCAATGGATCATCAGTCTTAATATTTACCATTCACAGTGAAGTATATTTCAAGTTCACCTGTTCCATTCATACAGAGTATTCTTGATCAGCCAAAGTTTTTTGAAAACTGTATTGTCTTGCACAAATGCAGACAAAAATGGAAATGAATTTGCAAAGAAACAGGAACTGAATAGCACACGACCCACCCAGATATTAAGCAAACTTTACAAATACGATCCTGTCAATGTGGTTTTCTGGAAGATGTTTAAGGGTGACATGAGGAGTCATTTCTTAAAGACAAAACCAGAAGGATTGTAAAGATATTTTGCAAAATACCTCAACCATTCATAACTATTCCTTTTTAAAACACTGCAATGATTGAAGGCAATTCTTCAAACTGAAGACCAGGTTTTTAGATTGAGTGATGAGACCACTTCAAGTAAATTCAATAGATATTTTTCTCTGTGTAGATGCTGATGAAAAATTTGGGAAGATCCTACATTTGTTTAAATCTCCCTCACTTTCTAAATAGGTTCTCTGTATCTGCTCACCACTAAGCCCAATTAAATTCAAGGACAGGAGGTAACAAAACCTGATGCTACTTGACCAAAATTTCTACTCTGTGTGACAAAGGAATCACTAAAAGTAGCTCAAATTTTGTTTTTCTTTGCTATGTAAGACTGCAGATGTCATGTGGATGCTAATTGGAGTCATTGTAGATGATGTTAGATGCCCTGTTCTTATTCAGTGTGTGGTGGGTAATACAGTACCTGTGTCGTTCAAGAAAGGATCAATGACACAAAGGTAGTTTTCTGCTGCAGGAAGAAGACAGACAATTAGAAAATCACTATTTGTATTCAATCTCTGTTTACACTGGTTGACCACATCTCTTGCAAGCACACATTTCCCTCTAGGTTCAGAAACACACAAATATATCAGCACCAGAAGTCTCCTCTCGTTTTAGTTTGCAATTCAGGATTGCTTTATTAATCAACACAAGATGCATTCATT